ATCATATATTATATATATATATATCAAATCAAATTTGATATCGGACTATCAAATTTTATTTGACAAAAGCATATGACGTGGCTATATATGGTCATGATAACATCACATCATGACCATATATAGGCACATCATGACTATATGTAGGAATGCAAGATTTTTTTTGTCAAAGAAAATTTGATAATGTTGAAAGAGTTTCATATGATATGTTTAGTACTGCATCTTACATAGTTGTGAATACTGTGCTTCACATGGATGATTGCTCTAATAATATCTCGACAAGCGTCCATAAAATTGTTCGGTAACGACAGCAGTTCCTCTGTATCGTTGACGCACTTCATACCAGCGGTGTAGCTAATTAGATCACTGAAGTACTCTGCAAAATGCTTGGTCTGACAAATAAGAATATTGGAAAGGCTTATTTATACTGAAGTCAATCAGGTCCATTTCGTTCAATCATTACTTCAAGAGCCATCGTGGGCTATTATTCGACGGAACAATACAAAAAAAAACTAAACAAAAAACAAACAAACACCAAAAGACAACACTATATAGCCCGTATTACCAAACAAACTATGCATTATAGGGACATATGTGTCATTTTGACACCTGCATAACCCACTCTAAGCTTCTAATAACTCCTATTACTATCGTTCTCAGCTAAACCCGCCCCAAGAATGACAGTGTGAAAGTAAATTTGCCTAAAACATGCGCGTACAAACTGGCCCTGTTCTTATAGAAGATAAAGATCCAAGAGAAGTAAAGTATTAATATGGGAAAGCTGGTGAGGGGTCTAACCCTTAGTTGGGGCCTTGGGGCGATGGTTCAGTGAAGGGGAGTTAACTGACAAGAAAGCGATATGATGTGATTTTGAGCGTAATTGTTTTGCTCAGCAAATCAATAAATTTTTTTTCACTTCAAATCAAATCATACAACATACAAGCAAAGCTTGTAGAGATGGTACGCAGGCATACTAATATTATCAGCCGACCAGTCCCCGATAAATTTGTTTTTCAGAATTATATAAAATGTGGAGAAAAAAAAGAAAATTATATTCAAATATATGTCTGAGAACGTCATTTCCGGCCATCAGAGGTGCCATACTTATATTTTTATCCGCAGCCCCAACCATGGTGATGGTAAGGAGGGGTATAGAGCCCCTGATTTTTTTAAAATTCCTTCACTGGGGCACCTCTGTTTTGAATTTATAAATCTGCCTCAGTTGCAAGAGCACATAGTACTTACCACTGACAAATTTCTAGTGAAAGCTTCAGTGTGTTGTACAAGATCTGGGTGAGTTTGGTGGTTCATAAAATGTCGCGAGTTATTAAACCTTTCAATCGTCTAAAGTAAAAAAAAAATTATTAAAATTATTAAGATATAAATCATTATTTTCATAAATTATTGTTGTAAAGAAGGACGGACAGATCCAATGAGAATTTCATTTTTCCACAGCGCGAAGTTAATCTTTTAAAAACTTTGAACTTGCTAAGCGACAATCCTACACTCGATCCAAAAGGATGATATAAGGGGATCGTGGATAGTAATGTCGGTATATACAAGCGATTTAATTCCATCGCGCTTTTTGTTGTGCATATTTCATGCTAGTGTCACAACGGATACCATGTATAGTACAATAATTTACGATAAATTCCAACCATTCCCATACTACGGTACCATACCTTCAGGATTAAGCCTAAAGATATAATTTTTAGCTCCGATATGGAGCTCTAGAAAGACCTCTATTATACTGCCCACATGAGGCTGATTGATTAACATCTTTGATTAATATCTTTTTAGAGCTACTGCCTCCATTATACTGCCCTCATGAAGAGCTATAGAAACACTCTGCTGATTGATTAATAGTTGATTGATTAATAGATCTTTTTTGAGATCTACTGCCCAGAGCCGTAGATGACTAGTTCTTGGAACTCTACAGATGACTCTATTATACTGCCCTCATCGGAGCTTTCGAGATTACGAGAATTTATTTCGGTTCTTATTTCTTCTGGGGTATAATGATAGTGCACAATTATATTAATTTAATATGATTTTTTAGTGTGAGATAGGCTGATCAACATGAATTAGATAACAGTGTGATATGTAGGGCATACTTACGTAATTATCCCACGTATCTTGCACTAGGTTTCTTAACGTTTGCACATCGTTTTTCAAAACTTCGGTTAGGCCTACCGATATGTTCGTCGTTGGTATAGCTCTCGCTCCCGATTCCGTTATCGATGTCGTCAAGATCGTGATGAACATAATTGAGTCTGTCGCGATCAGGAAACACAAACGTGATATATTCAAAAAATAACCAATCTTGGGATGGGCAACATAGTACTTAAAAATCAGAAATGGTTGGGTTTTTTTAACTTGAGTCCATCATAAAAACATGGAATGACACCACTCAGAAAATGTTGACGGGATAGAGGGGGGGGGGGGGAAACATAATGTCCCACAGAGGGACAATAATCTTGGTTGGATCGAAACTAACGACAGTTAGTCGATGCTTATCCGACGGAAAACTTCCCATGATCCCCCTCTCCCAACCTGCTCACGCCGAATTTATTTTAATTAGGTTTATTATAAATCGAAATGCAAGGTAGCCCTAATTGCCTAATCAATAGCCGAGCCCAAATAGACATATAATTAATAATAATCCAAAAAGACTAGAAATGGATAAAATCTTGAACTAATTAGTCGTGTCATTCAAGGACTGACATATTTACTCACATCGTCAATTTACCATTAACATTTGTACCATTAGCAGAACTCTCCTTGGGACGCCCTATTTTGGAGATACCGCTTAAATATAGTGACATTTATGGTCCCAACGGAGTCCCCTTAAATTGGGAAGTCTATTTATAATACATTTTCAATGCATATGAATTATACATATTTTTGTGTCGAGTTATAACTTTATAAAGTTATCAAGCTCTACCGAATGCTTATTATTGTACTTACATAAAACCGTCATCTTTAGTAGGCCTTTAGGCTAGTATTAATATTTGTCTTCGTTAAAGCAACACAAAATGTAGAATAATCATTTTGGGCAAATTTATCTCTTTTATATACATATATCGACTGTTGTTTTTTCAAATGAATTAAGAAATTACAAACTAGTTTTGTTATCAAAATACCAGCGATGTAATATCATGAGTATCGATTCCATACTGCCGGCCTATTTGAAATATCTGTCACGTAAGTGGTTAATGTAACGCAAGATATTGCGATATTCAATGCGTGAACATATTACAACTGCATTCTTCTATTTTGGAAGATAACACTTCATAATGTACCTTATCAGTGGCCGATCCAGGATTTTTGGCGGGACGGGAAGGGTGGACTCAAGTGGCAATCTAGGACCTATGGTCCGAGGGGCGGAACCTAGGGGTTTTGCTTGTTCATATATATACCTATTGTGGGAATCCAGGAGCTATGCTCCATGGAAGCTTCGAATGTTTAACCATTTAATAATTTATCTAGGCCTAAATTATTTTACATGATTTTTGTTTTCTTCCGAGCTTCTGTCGGGACACACGAGCCCCGGTTAGGTTAGACGAAGAAATCTCAAATGGTGCCATGATTCAGAGATTGAAGATTACGTGCCTATAGATTCCTAAATAACTGTATTAATTTGTACTAAACTATTATCCATAGCATTACCCTGGATACGTTACTATTTATAACTTAAATTTCAGTAATTCATCCCTGACTGACTGTGTTCAGCATATTTAACTTAAGTCTATTGCAAATGCAGCATTACTTGTAATTTTTCAAGACATTTTTATCGTTATTCTTATCATCTATTGTCATATTCATCGTCGTCATCGTCGCTGTCGTTATTATAGTCTATCGTCATCATCATCTTCATCACCATTAGTATCATTATCACATTGTCATCAGTATCATCATCATATCATCATCATTGTCATCCTCACCATTATCATAATTTATTTTATTTAATTTTATTTCGATACCCAAACAGCAGCAAATTAAATTCGCTACTACTAAAAAACTAATATTAGTATAAAGTATCGTGTAGACAATATACATATGGAAACTTGTATTCTGCTATGGTGGTTTACATAAAATAGATTTGTACAAATACCGATATAATTTAATAGCGAGATAGTATAGTTTTATGAATCTATGAGCAATGTACAACCTCTGAATTATATCGCCATTTGAGGTCTTACATTTGCCAAGTTGAAAATCACATCAATAGTCAGTACACATGTTTTGCAATTGCTTTACAGTGACGCAATCATAACATAAGATTATACCAGCAGTAGAAATATTTCAACAGTTTTCTAATACCAAAAGCACCACTTTGTAAACAATACAGCTTTTAGATAGTGACGATAGGAAATTTCTTCTGTGATATTTATAGCACCAATGAATTATACCAGCGATAGGGTCCTCCTGAATGTAAATATCACAAACATAACCATAATTAATAAATATAGGCCAACTGCATGAATTGTTCATAAATTATTTATGAATATTCACAGATAGGCCTATTATAATATGGTAGAAAAGGTCTTCATCGTCGCAATTCGAACTCAAAGCTCTCAGATTCCACGACTGCTCTACGAGAAGCATATGTATTCTGGATTTCACATTGGAACGAACGAGTTACAGTATTTACAAAGAATGCACTTTGCTCAATAAATAAATAAATATATCACATATTATTAAATTAGGTACGCAGTAGGCCTACATAAAACGCCTGAGGGCCAACCAGACTCTCTGTCAGGTTTATGATTTCCATACTTTTAGGCCAACATATTGTTAGGAATTGAAAATAACAATAACTTTGCTTGTATTGATCGGCAAACCAACCAGCAAATCTCACTACCCAAAACATATCAGTATTTCACTGTTTTGGAATTTCTGTAGATATTATTCTCCTGAAGACGATTAAAGCAACTCAGTGGAAACGCCGAGATATTCTCAACTAACAACAACAGTTCTTTTCAGAACTATCTTTGTGATGTACCGCAAGCATTAATATATTATAGGCCTAATATGTTTTTGCTTGTCGGGGCGGGGTGCGAAGAGGATGTTGTAGTGTTAGGCCATGACCAAACTAACTTTAATTGGATCTGAATATTAATATCAATTATTGTCAGGCGACAAGATACTCAAGGGTTTGAGGCAGTCTTGAAGAACACTTCATCATTTGATGAACACAAAGAATGAAGGTAACATCACGTCATTAATCTACCGTGGCGGATCCAGGAATTTGTAATAGAGGGGGCCCAGGGAGAGACTTTGACAGATGAAGGTCTATGCCGCCTCAACCCCACCATGTTTGAGGCCGAGGTAAGAAAACTTACGATTATGTCACCCAGATGGCCGGCAATGGCACTCTCAGTTTTAAAATTTGAATATCATTTTGTTTTTTACTCCAATATTTTTACAATTTATGTAAAATTTAAGGGAGGGGAGGGGGAACTGATCGTAGTCATTATAATGAACATTATCAGGGCCGGACTGGGACCCGCTCTGAGCATGTTCAGGGTTGGACTGGGATCCATCCTGACTTAGGAGAGTGTCTGCACGATACGGAAAGAAATTTACTGGGGGTGGGACAAAACGCTCCGGCCCTGGTACCGTATGTGTGCAAAATGGTAAACCATCATATGAACTGCAAAAGCCTTCACCAATATCTTGATTTGACTTTCGACAAACACAAACTAGAAGAAAAAAGCAAACTACTTCTTGAAACATAATGAAGAAGCATAAGATACAGCCTATACCCCATTGGAATTCCTTACAATAATGGTTTTCTGAACTTATCAAAATGACTACGCGGGAGTAGATAGTATACGTCACTCTACAAACGAATTAAAACGATAGAGGTTGTTGAAATTGAAACAAAATAGGTGATTATGTGATGTCACCTTTAAATCAATAGGAGATTAGGCGAAGTATTAGGAAGAGTAAACAACGAACGGTGTCGGATAATCAATGAAACCGAAACAAAAACATTGTCGGGAGTGTAAACAAAGGTGTGCGGGTGTTTTAATACCCCTATTTAATGAATTAATGCAAAGGGGGGGGGGGGAAACATGGTTAGTAACGAATTATCTATGTATTTATTTATTCCAAACCATCAGCGAATCATCGCCACTAACAGGCTGGTATAAAAATCTAGCAACAATCACAAACATCAAACAAATATAATATGATAAAATATTACAAGATAAACAAAATCAAATATTGCTTATAGGCTAAATTTAAATAAAATTTAAAAAAAATGCTATAAAAAATGTCAATGTCATTTGTAGAAGAAATATAATATTGCATAGGAATCCTATAAAAAAAAACTACGTTTACATATTTAATTCAACTAAAAGGAACATTGAAACAGGAAAAGAACGCAAATTACGGGAATTCACATGAAGACCAAACAGTTGAACAGAATCACAGCTAAAATACGAATTAACACATTTGTACAGAAACAACATATCATGCAATAAAAACCCTTTTCTAGGGGAAATTAAAGGGCAATGGTAGCCAAATGATTTAACAAAAAAAACCTACTAAACTTAAAATGAATCTGATCAATACGAGTTAACTGAGAATCAGAAGCAGAACTGAAGATAACACATACAATACTCAAAATTAGAAGCAACCAAATTACGATATAAACTAATATTGGCATCAGGGTTTTTAATGTCTCTGCAAAGTCTCCAAATAAACTCAGGCATTCTGCTCCCTTTAGAAATTATATGATCAATATGCTTAACAAACGTATGTTTAGAATCAATAAAAAAAAAAAAAACACCTAAATCACGATGAATAAAAACTCCACCTAACGCATCATCTCCAATATTATAAGAAAAACATAAATTAAAGGATTTGATTTTTTTTTGTTATTTGGTGTGCCGTAAAAAATCGAAAATAAGCCCAATGGGCTCAATCTCGAGAAGAAGCTTATCTCGAAAAGAACCTAATCTGAAGTTCACAAAAAAAAAAAAAAAAAAAAAAAAAAAAAACGAGGTTTATACGGTATATATTTATCGCATTTCCTTTAGGTTACGAAGCACTTTGTTCTCCTTCACCACATGTTTAAGTTGCTATTATATTGGTGCAGTAGCAGGCAACACCGTCATGTACCCACATATACACTTGGGTGGAAGGAGGTAGGCCCAAAATGCCTTGCTAAAGAAGTAAACATGCGAAATGCGCAGCGAAGGGATTGAAACATGCTTGCTTCCAAGCGATATTGATTAATAACACAGGTCTATCAG